GGGGCACGACCATCACATTTCCGAAAATTTTCCTCCCGTTCGCAGAGCCCGGATCGGGGGACGAACTGGATGCGCGGCCATTTTCCCTGCCGTGACACGTGGTTGTGGCTTCCTGTAGGGAGGGGGACTCTCCCTCCAAGCAATAACCGCCACCCCACCTGCCTTCCTGTCCTCCACGCCAGAAGTCGCTCCGAGCAAGGTTAGCGTTCTCTCTCTTCATACTGTACTTTGTGTCATATTTTTGTGGTTAAAAAAAAAAATCAATATGGTTAAGAACGGATTAACCGTAATTCCATTGAACCTTATGGGGAAATTTGATTCGGGTCGCAACCAATTCGGGTCGCGACCAGAGTCGCGGAACGAATTAAGTTCGTGAACCGAGGTACCACTGTATCTGTTTCCATTGGTGCAGATTTTCACACATCACGCAAAGGAAAGGTGGTCATTTGCTATCCAGTTGTACACCCAACGGGAGCAGTTGCAAATCAGAGTTTCCTGTTGATTTTGAACTATACTTGCAAACCAAAGTGAAGCCAGAGGTAGGTCATCATTTCTGGGCCAGTAGGTGCAAATGGAATTTTTCAGGGAAATTGTGGGCACTCTCCCAAAATGGGAGCTATCACCCAAAGAAAAACTGGGGAAGATGATCCTCCTCATCTCAAGTCAGCTTCTCTTTTAAATTATTATTTTTTAAGTAGTTAGGGCACCTTTCCTACCATTGTGTTGAAGTCACATTTGCAAAACAAAGTGGTCCACGATGGTCTCCCCATGCTTTAGAAGAGGAAGAAAAGAGGGAGCCCAGCATGCTTTGGGGAGTGCACAACAGCGCCTACCTTGCTGCAACGATACGGGATCACAGGCTTGCTGTAATTTTTGTGGGCTAACTCAACGGAGCCCAAGGCTGAGGAAATATTGACAATGGCGGCCTTGTTGCAGCTTAACCCTTTCTCTCCACTTGCTTCGGCTGCTCTCCTTAACAGAGGCAGGAAAGCCTGCCACAGAGAGAAAGTTTACATTAGCAAGCTGGGAATAGTCCTTGCACCCGCTTGAAGGAGCCTAGTAGCACCTTTTCCATTTTACAAAATTTATTAGAAGGCATAGGCTTTCATGACCTGCAGCTCATTTTATGACATGCATGGCGTACATTCACCTGATGAAGTGAGCTGCAAGTCACAAAAGCTTATGGCTTTTAATAAAATGTGTAAGTTGGAAAAGGTGATAGCAGACTCCTCCTGATTTTTTGCCACCACAGAATAACACGGCTCTCCTCCAACAAGGTGCCCGTTTGATTTCACTTTGCTTCAGTCCCAACAGTGTTTGTTTTCTCATGTTACAGTCTATAGTCAAATATTTTTTCAGTTACGTTTTCATCCTTCCTCAGAATCCGAGAAAATGTATTTGCATGTTCCTCTACTTTGGCAGCACGGCTGAAACTTTGGTTCCTGCAAAGCAACAGTCACGGGGGCTTAGCGTCCTCTTACGTTCTTATCTGACTTTCTGCTTCCGTGTGATGTAGCCCAATTCTGGGCCCAAAGTCACCTAACTAAACTTCCGGTTGGACTTGCAACAATTCTGACATTGTCATTATATAGTAAAGCTGGGCTCTCACAATATCCTTTCTGATGGTTAACTTAATTCAATTTGCTGGGTCTGCATCAGCAACTGAGCCATAACTAAACATACAGAATGGTTTCACACAACCCCCAAAGCTAAAATGAGAGTGGCTATTGTGATTCAGGGACCAGAAGTGCTGGATTTGGTGTTTATTGTTATTTTAGTTGTAAGCTGCACAGAGTAGCTCACGCCAGCTGGTTTGCCCAAGTTAAAACTAAGGCACTTCCACACAATTTCCTCCTTCGCCGCACTACTAAACCACTTGCAAGGATCCTGATGTTGAAACCCCAAGCATTGATGGATAAGGAATGGCCATCTGGATGGCCAATTGTGGAGCAAAAAAAGCTGACGTCAGCTTGGGAGGCTACAACCTCTGAACTCCTCTTAGTTACCATTATCAGGGTTCTGGGTCTTTAAAAAAGCTAATGGATTCAGCTTTGGGGTGGGCTGTAGTCATCCCCCACACTCTTCCTCTCCATTAATTCAAATCTTGCCTATGGCATACATATTTGACATCAAAATAACATTATTCCAAACAATGCTTCATTTCAGGGGAGTGTTTCCATTGTAAAGTCACCTTTCTTGGCATTATGCATTTTTATAGGATGGTTTTTTTCAACTTTTCAATTTAGTCTATAGCCCTAGCCTTTCCAGGTTGTCTCCCATCCAAGTATTAACCAGACCTGACTCAGCTTAGCTTTCTAAATCAGCCAAGGTAGGCTGAAGTGCAAGTTGAACTACAACTGTGGAATTTGAAGAGAGATCAACTTACCAGACAAGTGAGGAATGACACTCACTTGAGGTTCATTTCTAACTGTGATTGTTTAAATACCCACTTCATCATTTACGGACTGCTATGACAAGGTTTGCTACAGCAGATTAAATCTTTAAAGTTCAAACCCTTACATATCCCCCCCAAATTCCATTCTGAACTGGAAACTGTCCTTCACAAAAGGTATTTCAAGTGATTTTTCCTTGCCATCTAACCCAGTTGTAGACAGGTCTTTTTCTCAAAACCTGTGTGTGTGTGTGTGTGTGTGTGTGCGCGCTTGTACACACATGTAGAAACACACACACACTTACCAACAGAGGACAAGACTTCAGGTATCTGATAAAGTGCATCATTCGAGCTGTAGTATCCACACTCAACACAGCCATACCTGGCTCACCATCAATGGTCCAACCACATTAGTTGTGTACCCACTTATCATGTCTTCAAGACGTGTGGTTTCAAGAGTGTTCTCAGTAAAAATGGCAGCATTGTTTATCAACATGTTAAGCCCTGCGCCTCTTAGATGGGTTTCAACCAAAGTCGCAGCTTCCCTAATGCTTGCAAGATTTGTAACTTCTGGGAAGGAGAAGAAGATGGGATGTTAGACATACAAAAATTGCAGGAGCATTTAGGCTCAAACTTCACTGAGCACTTCTGGACATCATCCATCCATCCATGCAAATTCTTTAGAGCCTACATTTTATTTTTATTTCCCCCCTTTTTCAAGAACCGTAAGCTTTTCCACCATATTCTTACAACAACCCTGTGAGTTGCTCTTTTTTCCCCGTGGGACTGAGGAAATTATAATATCAAAATCTTTTGTAAGTCACTTTGGGGAAACATTTATTTTGAACAGCCTTTTTTATTTAAAAATATAAACATTTCAATAGTAGAGAATACATGTAGCTCAGGGTTGAACTGGGTGTTTGCTGAGTGTAGTTGTTTTCTTGCAGCTATTTCATTACCAGAATAGGTCACGTCATATACATATTTAGCTAGGATGCATATATACATTTATAGATCTGGTATATATTTATTTTATTTTATTTAAAATTTATTACGGTCACACACCAGTACAGATCTGGTATATAATAGGTACTGGCAATAACTGAGAACTAGAGAGGAAAGAGTTGATTTTGATGTAATTTTTATAATGGTCAGCTGCCTATATGTATAATTTGAAATTGTTTTAATGGTTTTAATTATTAAATTGCTCGCCGCCCAGAGTCACTTGGATTGAGATGGCGGGCTATAGAAATTGCATAAATAAATAAATAAACAAATAAACAAGGAACTCTGGATATTAGTATTTAAAATGAGAAAGAAAAAGAAGGGGGATGATTAGCTACTATTCAATCTACCTTCATTCTTTCTAAAACATTACTTAGAGAAAATATACAAATAATTTAAAAAAAACTGTAGGTCAACTGGTGGACATGCAGAGCATAGAAGAGTAAAAAGGGGCATACCCAGTTTTACCACTATAAGATTAGGGTGACTCAAGGCCAGTCTTCTCAACACCTGAAAAGAGAGAAACAAGAATAAAGAACAACAATAGATAGATGATAATTCCCGGACTGGTACCGGAGTTTCCAAGCCATCAATTTCTTAGAACTCTTTATCAGGTGACTTAAAAACCAATGAATGAGTAACATCCAGCTACAGTTAAGCACTTTAAAATGCCATTCACTTCAGGTGGATGATTTAAAGCAGAGTTTACCTTTCTGAGTAGAATCAATAAGAATTCAGAAAACAAGTAGCTACTGCATATCCAATCAGACTTTTAATCCTTCTGGCCCAGCATTGTCAGCACTGATCCCTAGAGCTACAGACAGGAGAAAGCCCTAACTTGAACCCTCAGCATGTGAAACAGGTCTGCAATCTTATAAAGAGGCAGAAATTGAAAATGTACCTTTGGCCTACATCTTTGGTGAAGGTGTCATGCCATCAGAGCAAATTTTAAATTATTCAGAGAGGTGAGACTGCCTAATTATCAAATCAAATATATCAGTTCTTCATTCTGTGTTCCATCTGGCTGAAATAGGAGTTCATTTCCAAGCAAAATTAGCCCAACGAAGTTAGATGCAAAAGCTTCATTGGGCATCCTTGCTAAAAATAATTCTATTTTTATTAGGAAAACTGAGCACCAGGAATCCTCGCTCAGCTACTTCTTTGGACAAAAAGCTACAACAATGCACAATCCATTCAAATTATTATAGAGGAATGATAGATATTTAAGAAATAATAAAAGGAACTATTGATGTTCCATTTTTGTTGACTTTATAAGTACTGCTCAGTTTGGGAAGAAACGTAAGGAAAGTTATCCAGTAGTGACATAAAAAGACCACAGGGAGGCAGATTTCTATACCAGAGAATGGCTTCTCCACTAGATAGCCAAAGATAGAACTCAACAAGAGCAGAAATATATGGTTCCCTTTTTGTTCCTGCCCAACATTGATTCATTTACCCGCTTTTTAGACACAGCAATATTTGTTGTGTTGAAAGGCAATAAAGAACTACAAGGATGTTATCTCCCATCAGCATGAAGAGTGTTTCATTTAAACATAAGATGCTTGCTCTAATCCATCATCCTGAAACCATCTTCCCTCCAAAACCTATTCCTACCTGTCCAATTATTGTTATGATTATTATTTTAGAACAAATGTAGCTACCCTCAACCAAGAAATATAATGTGTTCCAGAATTGCAAGGGTGATCCTTGGGGTACTGTGAAGAAAAAGAAGGTGCTGGAAAAATCAATAAGTAGAAAATATAAAATATAAACCTATAAGCAGAAAAATCAAGCTAAGGAGTTTTATGACTAACAGCAAGTGAAATTGACAAAATGGGATTCTTTCTTGAGAATCTGTTTTGAGATGGAATAGTTTCCAGATGGGTGAACTTCAACTTCCAAGGATCTACAGTCAGCATGGTCATTGTTGAGAACTCCAGGGGTTGATCCACATACTGGAGGGCACCCAGATTGAGGAAAAAGAGATGACATATTCATTATTTAGTTTGTTTAGAAACATATATGCTGTTGCCCATTCCCTCAAAGTCACTTAAGGGAACAGACAGAAAGGAGAAGGAATCTCTAATCTCTATAGCCCTCCATGGATGGGCAGAAAGGAATAGTTTCTTAAGAGCTACATCAGTCTTCTAAACTTCGGCTCCTCAAATCTTCTAGCCCTGGGTTCCTCAACCTTGGCGACTCGAAGATGTGTGGACTTCAACTCCCAGAATTCTAAGTGTGGCCAGACTGGCTAGAACAGGGTTCCCCAACCTTGGTGACTCGAAGATGTGTGGACTTCAACTCCCAGAATTCCCCAGCCAGCCATGCTGGCTGGGGA